GCCCCGCGCAGCAGCTGCGACAGCGCGACGGCGAGGACGACGACGGCGACGTCCCCCAAGTTCCCCCTGTGACCAGGTGCGCTCGCCCCGAGGCCCGCCCTCGCCGTGAGGGGTCACCCGCACCGGCTACTACAGATACCTTTGAGTCGCTGGCAGGGTAATTGTCACACCAGCGTGTCTGCGCGCGCGCACCGGGCCAGGCCAGACGCAGACGCGGCGCGTCTCTGCGCTGCCAGAATTGCCTCTTGAATTAGCCTTCAAGTGCCTCGCGCGGCGCGGCGGCGTGAGCTGCGAAAGGCCCCGGCCCGGCCCGGCCTGGGCCGCCGGCCGCGGGTATCGATATTTCTCACCTACTTGGCACGGGCCGGGGATGCGCGCGCCCCGGCGGTGCGGCGCGCAGTAGTAAAGAAGTACACAGCCGGAAAAGAATAAATGATACTGTAGCGAGAAGTTGTGATGGCCATGTGTTTGTCTTGTCACGTTGCAGGGAATGGATCGCGCCAGTCGCCCAGGTCTGTGGAGTGCCCGCCTAGCAAGCCCGTGCCCACGAGTCTGACGGGCTGTTGCAGGGGCAGGATGCTCCCCAGTTGGTTCGCCCTGGGTGAGTACAGTGAACGACTATAGGCAGTAGCTGGCCGGGGAAAGGGGTCTGACGGCCCTAGGAGGCTCGTCAACCACAATGTTATGATGGCTCAACGGAGCCCGAATCTAAGTACGAGGGAGAATTTTAAAAATAGAAAACAAAAAAAGATTATTTTTTTTCATAACGGGGTTTCCGATTTTATGAAAATAAATAAATAAATGTCCAACACTATTCAAAGACAAAGTTGACTTTTCGTCTTAATAATTTTGGTTTTTAAATATCTAGTAGTGCACTGGACGCGCAGTACCGATGGGTGGCCAATACTTGCGCCTTGTTAACTTTTCGTGCAGGAAGCCACCCCCACCCTACCCCTAAAGAAAACTCAGAAACAAAAAAACAAAAACAGGGTTCCGTTCAAATGCGGGTGCTCTCCTCAAGAACCTTGCCCCCACCCGGCGCCGCGTCTGCACCGTATGGTGCAGTGTGTGGGACTGATTCGCAACAGAAATATCCCCCCGCGCCCCCGCGTATTTCCAAAGCACAGTTTGACTCGCGGAGTGCGAAGTGCTCACTCGTATATCAAGTTCTTCAACCGTTCAACACAAGAGCAAGTGTACATTTTGCAAGTTCAACACGTCCCAGTTTTAACGCGTTTATTATGCACTTACACAAATTTAAGAAGATGGTTGTGCACTTTGTAAGTGTTCACTTCCTCTGTGTAACTCTTGCGGTTGTTTACCGGTTGAACTTGGTTTATCACTGCACACTAACATCGCATGAATGTTTGTGTGCGTGATCCACTTATATATTTTTTATAAGACATTATGAACAAATTTGCTTCCTACTGGATTTTCAAAAAATGCATAAGCGGAGCACGCACACATAAATTCTCAATGAATTAATAGAAACGTTCCATGTGATCTCAGTGTGTGCACGCACTCGTTAAGCGTACTTGGGAATTGAAGAGGCGTCATTGTGAAACAAATTTTACAAAAGAGAGAGCTGGGGTTTGGGGTCAGATCGAGTTTCGTTTCATCCCTTCCATTTTATTCGACACAGGACTCTTCTGCGAACTTTGCCCCTTTTACCCCGTTACATGATTTACACCACAGAGATCGCGTTAAATGTCATAGCCACTGGGTCCGGGAGTGAGAGGCGAGCGCCGGCGCGGCGGCGGGTGCATGAGGGGGGGAGGGGGATGAATTAGACAGTGATAGAAACAGGAAAGCATGTCTGACTGACTGGCTGATCCCGTTGACACTAGGGCCGGGGAGGGGCGGGGGGGCTCTTCGCAGTGACCGTGGCGCAGAGTGGCGGCCAGCGAGTGGCGCAGAGTGGCGGGGGTCGGACAGCATCTTATTTATAAACGCGCCTCTCCGAATGATGAAGATTAAGGCGGGAAAGCCGGGCGGGCCGTGCGTGAGACGGCACGCTGGTCTCTCCCGCGGCGCTCGCCTCTCTGTCCTTCTCAATGTCTCGCCCCCGCCCCGCCCCCTCCCCTCTTCAGAACCCCCGCAAGGCCGGGAGGAGACACACGCCCACACATAACCACACGCACTGTCTCGTGTTGCCATGGGGATAGGTTTTTATTTTGAAGGTTCGCGACATAGGTGAGGGGGGTAGTTGGGGGTGGGCAATATGACCTGTGAAAAAAAGAGGGGGGGGGGTGAGAAAAAGAGATATCGAGTATTGGATGCCTCGAGGCTCGGGGTTCTTTTTCACCCCTTTTAATTTTTAGCCAATGTTTCCGAAAATCAGCAGCTCTGCACTGTTGTTGAGCAAAAAGTTTCCCGTTTGTCAGTTCAAAGCGTTAACTTATAAAGTTGGAACGCCGTTTTTCTCCTGATTCATAATGTTGCGCTCCGAGAGGTTTTACTCAGCAAGTTTTCATTTTCCAAACCGGAACTCGACTTACTTTCCTTTTCCTTGTTTTGTTCGGAAAAGGGGGGGCGGGGAGTAGGCGGGAAGGTGGCCTGGTAATTGGCCCAACCGCACACGACAACTGACGAGCTGAGCGCTCAACGGCCCAAGCGAGGACGAGGAATCCTCGGTCGAGCACAATTAAAACTAAAAGGAATGGAGTTATTTGTGAGGCCTTTGGGAAGTCGGGAGGGGAGGGAGACAGGGCGACGAAAGTCCCTGTCACCAGAGCGGGGAGTTGAGCCCTGTCAGGTGAGGCCATCCCCTCTCCCCCTATCCTCTACCCCAGCCCAGGTGAGCCCACTCGGGTGACCCCCCCACCCCCTCTCCCAAAAGCCCCAGGTCACCGCGCCCCAGCCCAGTCATCCTGGTGATCAGGTGTGCCCCTCGCTCGGCGAGTCGGTCGAAGCATTGTCCCTGTCGGGCCAGCTTCCGACAGGTATAGTCGTCGCCCACCACCGCGCTCCGTCCCGCTCCGTCCCACGCCACCCTGCACCGCCCAGCCTCGCTACGCCGCGGGAGATCTTCGATCCAGGGGGAGCCAGCCAGCGGCTAGCGCGCGCTCGGCACGGACCAGTGACCAAAGCTGGACAGGGGAACTCAACGCCGCGCCGTGCTTACACTGCTACATGTTCCCAGCCTCGCTACGCCGCGGGAGATCTTCGATCCAGGGGGAGCCAGCCAGCGGCCAGCGCGCGCTCGGCACGGACCAGTGACCAAAGCTGGACAGGGGAACTCAACGCCGCGCCGTGCTTACACTGCTACATGTTCCCAGCACTGCAGCGTAGGGCGGCGTAGGGGAGCACGGGGAGAAAACGAGGAGGGGGGGGGGTACTACTGTTAGAGTGTGATACTGGACAGTTGCTTTATGGGACAACGGGAAGCAGAGGCGAGTGTGAGTGTAGAAGAAGCGATTGCAGAGTACGGCTAAAAATAACGACACTCGTACGGGATTCGCAAAGACAACAGAAGCGGGCCGTCGCCGTCCAGCCCTGGCAGGGCTCGGGGGTTGGAACAGTAACAGATAGTGTCCGCGCCCGCCGCTATAGCGGAGCTCTGCCCCGGCTCTGCCGCTCGCGCACTGTTTGTTTGTTCCGCAAGGCTGGCCCACCGGGTTATTTGTCCCTGTCACTCAGAGCACAAAGAGGCAACACGATCGGGACCAAGGGGAGGGGGTGCGTCCCGCCGCCGCGTATGTAGCCAGTAGCCTCGCCTCACATCCAGCTCCGCGTGGGGCCGCCGGCTCTAGTCTAGCATGCAGTAACACAAGTGACACGCAGTGACCCTACGGTGCCTGTTCCAGCTGGGTTCTTTGCCGTGTTCACGGGCGGCCCTCTCCGAGTAGCCGGCCAGGGGTGCTTGCCGGGTAAGTCCGCCTAACGTACGTACGCGCGTACCGTACGTACGCCCGGCCGCGCGCCCCACCCCGCCACCCCCACCCCCGCTTGAGTGATGTCACTGAGTGGCGCGTACTGCGCGTGCGAACGCACACAAGACTACTAACTAGACTACTGTCACTAACACTACTTTACTACCAACTTACTATACTGCATGGCTTGCAGCAAGAACGCGGAGTTACGTTTACTACATTCGTGAGAAATGCGAGAGAGAAAAAAAATCAAAACTAAACAGGAAAGGCAGTATGATCGAAAGAAACAGTCGTAAAAAGAAAAAAAGATGAGCGATAGTCATGATAATGAGTCTTGATGTCATGATAATGAAATCAGAAAATAAAGTTGTCGGTGAAAAGAATGATGGAATTATGGCGCCTCGCTTAGCCCGCCGCGGTGGAGATTCCAAAAACTTAAACCTGTGACTGTCAGCTGCTCAAGAACGCTAACCTCACGGCTTACAAATCTCTTTTTTTCAAATATATTTTTTTCCTAACTAATTGTGCTTTTGTCCCAAACAATGACGACAAATCTCAGAAAGTTATTTCTGTATCAATTTTTTTTTTTTTTGAAGAAAGAGAAAATAATAAATGATAACAACCACACACGCATAAATGGTTTGGGAGCGTAAACGCACCAGCTGGACTGTCCCGTCGCTTTGGTTGCTTGCCCGCGCCCTCTCCCTCTTTGAACGGGCGCTCCTCTTCGCGCGCGAAATTACGGCCCTTCCCTCTTCCGGTTCCCGTTGCCCTGCTGCGCCCCGCTGCGCCCCGCCCCCTCCATCACCGCCCTGTTTAGCCCGCTCCCGCCAAACCCTTCATGGCTGTCAACACGAGGGGCTTTGCTTTGAGCCGGCTCTGAGCCCGCTTTATGAAGTCGCCCGCCGCAACGCCTTCTTTCCTCCCCCCTTGAGCCGGGCCGATGGCTCAGCCCGGTCAAGCTCCCTCCCCTCCCCCCAACTCGCTTCTGAACGAGAGCTATACCTTCATAAAGCCCTTTCCCCTTTCCCGTGAAAAACGTCGGAGTACAGCCCGTTTCGCGACAAGGAGCAGCAAACGACGTTTTCTTAAAAATAAAAAAAAATAATAATCCAAGGGTAAGTTTTGGCACGATCGCACCCAATAGAAAGGGAAGAGGTCGGGGAACAGGTGTTGATAGGAGTGGGAAGAAGGTTGGGTTTTATAACGAAATTTACTTGATTCAAGGTATTAATTTTCTGGGAGCATAACAGTCAACTTTCGCTCGTCCATGACGACTTAACTAGTCGATAAATAATGTAAAAAAAATGACTAACTGTACAGTTTGAGTTTGTAGATTTACGAGATTTACGTAATTTACCATGGAAAATGTTCACGTAAACCTACGAACATGAATTACATTGGAGAGGGTGGCGGATGGGATACAGGGAAGTTGTTCAGGTGTGATAGAAATGAGGGAAGAAAGGGGGACGAGAGGGGTTAAAGGATATGGGAGCACCCCCTATGGTGGCTCTAGCTCTGCCCTTCGTTCCGCTTGGTCCCGGCTGGGTGAGTGTGTGAGCGTGTTGTGTTGCTACCGGGGGTGCCCGAGTCCTCCGAGTTCTGATTTGAGGGAAGCACTAAAAAGCACTGACTAATGCGTGCCGTGTGGTGTGTGTCTTGTGCGGTGTTGCAGTACTGCTCCTGGCGGCTGTGCATCTGTCCCAAGAGGAATGCCAGAGTAAGTGGGACGCTAACAAAAGAAAAAGTTGAAATTCTTTCACGCGGAAGACTCTTCCGTCCTTTTTTTCTGGATTAAAAACTTCTTTTTGCTGCGAGGGTCGCTATTTATTATGTACAGTATACAAAATTTGACGAAAGTTTTCCGAGCGGATTACTTCGACTTTGGCTCCGTACCGCTATTCAGACCATCACTGACGCTTTTCTAGAACAATTACTTGCATATCGCATAACATTTCAAGTGACTGCATGAACACGCGCACCCCCTCCACCCGCTTGAAACTAACTGCACTTTCTTGGCTGTACTTCCCTTACTGCACCTCTTTAGAGCTAGTACGAACTCATTTTACAGAATTGAATCACATACTTTCAATTTGTTTTTCAATAATTAAAGAAAAAACGTACTTGTATACAGCGGACGTTGACCCCCTTCCATTTCCAGCCCGGTCCATCTACTGCTACGAGTGCGACTCGTGGAAGGACGCCCGGTGCAAGGACCCGTTCAACTACACGGCACTGCCCCGCGACCAGCCGCCCCTGCAGACATGCAACGGCTGCTGCGTCAAGATGGTCCGCAACGCCAGGAGCCGTGAGTACCAGGGCGAGCGCGTCAGGGGTCACGCTCCACCCCACCGCACCCTGCGCCAATGAGCCCCCGAGCCCATCTCAAGGGTTCAGCTGTC